TGTGTGTGTGTGTGTGTGTGTGGGCAAGTTCTTAGCCTATGATGGCAGAGAGGTCTGTATTGCACTTAACTGCATTAGGAGGTCAGACAGGGAGAAACCCATTTGTTTCAGTTTGATCCCAGACAAATTGCTTTTTGATAGTTAAGAGTGTTAACTGAACTGGAATTCTTCATCTAGCCCCAGGGTGAAGAGCATTATTTCAGTTCAGATGAACATAAAGGCTTTAGTTTTTGCCTTAAATACCATTCTTGTTTTTTCCTACTCTCCAAAGCATTGCAATGGTACTGTACATTTTGAAAGTGTACATTGGAACATTTTAACTTTTCCTTTCCAAAGAAGATACTTTTAATGATAAAATATTTAATGGACTTTTGTGGTAGTTGAAAGAAACAAAAAAGGTACCTCTACCTTGAACATATTTTTCTTACTTTTAACTTTTTCAATTAAGAACACTTTTTACAGTCATCTTCATATGAGGAATTTGTTCAGAGTCAACATATATGGATTTCTTTTTCCTACTTCTCTTTTTGCTGCACTTTTGACTTCTGACTATACCTCAAACACTGTACATTCAAGTCTGCATTTTTGAATGTTTTATTTCCTTTCTTTTTACAACTCAACTTATTTAAAAAAAAACATCTTTACATAGTAATTTATATCAGGATGTTAAATCTTCTTGCTTTTATTTGTAATGGATTTTTTCCTTCGCTGAGGAAGATAATAGGTTTCAAATTTGGGGAAGAGAGCTCTTCTTTTACAAATGACCCCAATCCCAGTTTCCTCTTCTACTCTTTCTTGAACAGCTGGAGGAATAAGTCTTATTCTGTCCATCAAAGTATCATTTGGAAGTCTATGTTTAAAATACCTCTGTCATGACCCTGTGGCATTCCTGCTATTATCGGTCCACAGGGATGGAGCTGCTTTACAGGAGAAACAGAGGGAGGCCAGACCCACTCCGTAGGTGTATCAGATAACAGCCATCAATGTCATGGCCCATTATCAAACATTGTCATCATTATATTCATCAAGTAAAACCCTCTCCTGAGACTCCTATTCCAAAGGTAAATTGTTCCTGTGACTACTTCTGCCTTTTATAGCAAAACAATGGGTAAGAATTTAAAGGCCAGTTATGTGCTTCAGGAATTGATCCTAATCCAAGGATGCATGAGCTGTTGCTGACATCCAGCTAGTGGTCCAAATAGTGTTGCACAGGTGTAACTAAAAGCAGAAATGGGTTCCTTGAGTGAGTCCTCAGCTGTTGTAACCTGGGTTAGCTCCATGGACTTCAAGGGAGCTACATTGATTTATACAAGCTGAGCATTTGGCCTGTTATCACTCTATAGGGGACATAGTTCCACAGTGTTTTAATTCTTGTGAGTTACACAGTATATTTATTTCATTGTCTAATTGTTTATATACACATCCTACTGAAAAAATGTTTTATTTGAACTTAAAAAAATGGAAATGTGGCAATAAACAATGTTATAGTTACTTGAACCTTCGAAAGTATTTTTTCCCATTAGAGGTAGAGTGGTGTAACTTTTAGATTTCAATAATTATTCAGTTAACTTGTTTTCTATTAACTAATTATGCATATAAAAATTACCCACACTTAGCTGTGTTATGTATGTAAAGACAATGCTAGAAATGAAACTCACCAATTAAGCCTTAATAGATTTTAGAATGGCTTGTGTTAGTGAAATTAGTACTTTTGTTAATTGTAGTAACATTTTAGCTGCGTATCAGCAATAACAAGGTCATGCAAAACAGTCATCAATTTTACCAAAAATTGATAAGCATACACATTGTTTCCATTTAAGGCATGGTCCTTCATCCACCATTACTCTGAATGAGCCGAGGGCCTTTTTCCAAACCTTTCATTCCATACAATAAAAAAACCAAGCACACGATGTAGTATTTCTTTTTCTAATAATGGCAATAAAAAGATTTTGTTTAAATGTATCCACTATATGTACTGCTGGTACATAATGTAATGGTGATTCCATAATAAAATATAATTGTGTTTAATTTTAAACCATAGCTGGATGATTTTCTTTCCTTCAGTCAACTCTCCAAGGGTCTTCTTACTGAATATGAAAAATGGATGCTGCTAAATTAGCCACTACACATGTTTTTTGTAAAAGCGTTTGGCACACATGAGATAATCAGTAAAGATTGGAGCAGAATTAGTGCACATGCTCTTTTTGTGCTCCATGCTCCACATATTTCACATCAACACAACCCACTCCCAATCAGTTATCTTGTACATTTATTTTGACTTGATTAGCAGCAGTAAAGTTAAAGCAGAACAACAGTATATTATACAAACTGGCGCTCATTAATTTCAAAAGCAAAAGCCAAAGTAAAATTTAAAAAATTCAAATTGCACTTATCTCCAGTTTACCAGCCATCCACAATTACATGTAATTAATGCTCAGTGAAGCATAAGGCTACCTAAATTAACTAATTGAATGAGCACATTTGGAGATGAGATATAATACAACACCTTCCTAATCCCTGGAACCCAAGGGGTCTAAACCCACAATATGTGGGTGGTTATGTGCAATGCCAATAACCAGTGCTCTATGCACAGGTAGAACAATAACAAACAAGATGTATTCAGGACTTTTATTAAATGTAATTGTGTTCTAGGACAAAAGATATAAAAAGAAAAGATGCTCAGGCAAGAATGTTTGCAGATACTCAGCAAATATGACAAATTACTTTCTTTCTATGTATCCACATTTATTTCCCCACCAAACAAATTCAGAATTCACCTGTAATATTTGTGTCAAGTTTTAGTTGCAGTAGGTTCAGAGAAAATGGTTTCTATGTTCCTTCGTTTCAATTTGAAACTGCTGTTCTGTTTCGTCAAAACAGTTTCGCTGTTTTGATGTTTCACCCATAGGCTATAATGGAGAAGCTTGAAACAGCCTATAAGTGTGTCATTTCTGGTCTGATTTGGATGAAACTTGCAGGAAAGGTAGCCCCTTCTGTGGGCATGAAGCCTGCCAAGTGTCAAGGAGATACATGTGGGGGCTTTAGGGAAACTGCACCTCAAATTCTTGGAAACAAAAAACTCACGTCACGTGTATGTGTTAAGCCACAGCAGGGTCAAAACTG